TGATGATGTTAAAAGTCAAATAGCTTTATTTAGATTATTAAATCCCCTATTTAGTGAAATTGGTCTGTTTACACTGCACAATTGCCGTGCCTCATGTTCATTGTACTGTTTAAAGTCAAACTTGAGTCTAAAAGTCGACTTCCTATTCCAGAGTTTTCGGGTATCACTGCAAGTATGCCTAAAAGGGGCCCAAAAGGTTATAATGTGTGAAGTACACCTGCAGTATGTAAACTGTACAACAAAATGGCGGTTTTACACGTTTTTCGACTTAAATCCACTCTATACTAATTAATATATTCCCTTTGGCTTAAACCTAGACGTCTGAATCGCCGTTGCATTTTTATTACAAAGTCAAAAAGAGCGTTTTTTCTAAAACAATTTTTTCCCCATTAGTTTCTTGTATTCAAGGAACTAAATAAACTGAGAGTCAAGTTTTTTTCTATCTATCTATCTATCTATATATATATCTATCTATCTATCTATCTATCTATCTATCTATCTATCTATCTATCTATCTATCTATCAAGGTAATGATGAATTATTAATATATCTCTAAAGGATACAAGGTCTCAGTATTCTCTACTGTTCAGTTCGAAACTGGCATCCAAGTTCATCCTATATTATTCATCCATATTCATCTTAGGATATGCATCCATATTCATCTTAGGATATTCATCCATATTCATTCCTTTTTATATTTATCTTATAGTTATATGTTTATTAATTTCATATTTATTTAACCTAGAATATTCATTCATTTACAAATTTAATCATCTTAGAATATTCATTCATTTTCATAGTTATTCAACCTATAATATTCATTCATCTCCATATTTTTTTCATCTCAGAATATTCATTTATTTTCATATTTATTCATCCTTCTTAGAATATTCATTCATTTTCATATTTGTTCATCTCAGATTATTCATTCATTTTCATATTTTTTTAACATAAAATAATTATTTCTTTTTATATTCATTCATTCTAAAATATTCATTCATCTTCATATTCATTAACCTTAAAATATTTATTCATTTCCATATTTTTTAACCTAAAATACTTATTTCTTTTTATTTTCATACATCCTAGAATATTCATTCATTTTCATATTTATTTATCTTAAAATATTCATTCCTTTTCATAGTTATTGAATCTATAATATTCATTCATCTTCATATTTTTTCATCTTAGAATATTCATTTATTTTCATATTTATTCATCCGAGAATATTCGTTCATTTTCATATTCATTCATCTTAGAATATTCATTCATTTTCATATTTTTTTAACCTAAAATACTCATTTCTTTTTATATTCATTCAGTCTAAAATATTCATTCATCTTCATATTTATTAACCTAAAAATATTTATTCATTTTCATATTTTTTAACCTAAAATACTTATTTCTTTTTATTTTTACATCTTCCTTTCTGCGTAAGAAATGTTTAAAGTTTTAGTATAAATCTTATAAACCACTTTATGAGTCCATATATGTTTCTAATCATGACAATCATAAAATAACTCGATAATTTTAAGTAAAATTCTTATGCCACTACGTCAAAAAAAATGGCTAAAATTTTTGTTTACGCATGAAACCAAGATTTAAAAAAGCTGTGCTTAATGGTGGAGGCTCGTTTACTGTATAGTGGAGGCTTGGTCTGCATAGTGGGGGCCCGGTCTGCCCAGCAAATTTGGGAGGCTCGTGTCTGCAAAGCGGAGGCTCATGGCGTCCAGGGGTTCCCTCCCGCAAAGTACGGGCATAACTTAAAGGCAGCCAAGGAGAATTGAATAAATAGAAGGAGGGGGCGATAGGGTTTCCGTACACTTTGCTGTGACGTTTTTGGACTGCTGAAGAACTAGTTTGCGTAACAACAATAATAAAGATTGTAAACAATAACACAAATGATAAACAAACATCTGGCATTTCTGGCGTTAAATGAAGATTCACCGTATACTAACTCATGTTTGTTTACATTAGATCGACTGCCTTAGTTATTGTTGTTACGCAAAAAATAGTTCTTCAGCAGTCCAAAAACGTCACAGCAAAGTTTACGGAAACCCTATCGCCCCCTCCTTCTATTCAATTCTCCTTGAAGGCAACTATAGTGTAACAATGGGTGATTTTGTTGATCTTTTACGATCATTTTATTCATCTTAGAATATTCATTCATTTTCATTTTTATTCATCTTAGAATATTCATTCATTTTCATATTTGTTCATTCTAGAATATTCATTCATTTTCAAATTTATTCATCTTAGAATATTCATTCATTTTCATATTTGTTCATTCTAGAATATTCATTTATTTTCATATTTATTCATCTTAGAATATTCATTAATTTTCAAATTTATTCATCTTAGAATATTCATTCATTTTCATATTTGTTCATCTTAGAATATTCATTCATTTTCATATTTCATAATTTTCCACCTCTCTTTTTTCCTTTTGTTCTTCATTCGTCTAAATAGTTCTCCTTATTCTTTTTTTATCCCTTATTTGATTATTTTTCTAATTAGAAATCATTTTAACCAATTTTTGTTGATGATTTCTTTGGATATTTTGTAGATAGTTTATTAGGTAAAAAAGAAATTCTAGACGTTTAGACTTTATGAAAAAGTAAGATTATTGTGTCTAACTTAATTTTGCAGAGAATCTGAGAAAAATCAGCTAGAATTCTTTGTTCTTCTAAAAGCATGAAATACATAATAATAATGTGATCAATTTCAAAATTCAATGCAATTTTTTATTCTAATGTATAATTGCAAATTATGTAGAGGGTGCCCTAGTCTACAGATGAGGCATTTTTCTCTTGTTCGTTCATCGTTAGGGCCCATTTTGTTTTTATTTTTTAGTCGTCAGATAAAAATAAAAAATCGTTAATTTTCCTTCTATTTCTTCGTTTTTAACTGAACGTTTACTTAATAAAATTGTTCGTTCAGTTTAAGGTTATAAGGAAGGTTACGAACGAATTTTGAAAAATTTTCGTGAACGTTCGTCCGTCGCTCACGAAAAATTTCGGTCGTTTTCAAATCGGTTGAATTATGTTCATTTCTATGGTCTACTGATCTTAACAATTCTTGAATCTTAGTCATTTTTGAAACTGGTTTTATCTGCTAAAATATTTGACTTTGAGTAACAAAGATATAACACATTTTGTAATTTTCATAGAAACCTTCAATGCCCCAATCTAGTTCTATTATTTAAAGGGACTGTAAGCGTAATTTCAAGTGAGCTTCCATGCAAAGGTGGCAATGCAGCTGAGTCACAATGGTACCCTTAAAACATTTTTCTGATCAAGTATTAATCAAATATTATTGTTTCGAACTTTTGTAAAAACAGATTAAGTTTAATTGTGGTTTCTCTACAAAAGTACCTGTGCATTTCTAGTGCAGGAAAACACATAAATATTAACATAATTTAAATCTAAAGGAAAAACGACAATATCTTCTGCATTTTCGGTATTGTCGTGAATCGGATACTGCGTGGCGGCCGGCGGGTCGCTTAAAATAACACTTACAGTCCCTTTAAGGTACATCTAAAAGGGGGGTTTCTCAAATATCCGTGATTTTGGTAATTCAAAAATTGTTGTGAAAGTTTTCGATTTTTATTAGTTTTATAATTCATTTTCGCGTAAAAATTCGACATTTCGCAAAATACGAATTAAAACTTTTCGCGAAATTTTGCATTTTCTCGGAAAATTTTTCTTTCGCTGGAAACTCTACTTAGTACGTACAACATAAAGTGATTCAAATTTTAGTTTAATTTTAGATATTCAGATAAATCAATGTATGAACTTGTTTCTTTTCCGGAAGCATAAAACCATAGATTAATTAAAATAACAGGGTGTTTCACATGAGTTTCATGGTCGTCTTTACAATCTCATCATTAGTAGGTACTACTGTATTTGAAATTAGTACAAGAGCGCTCAAGCAATGTTCATGATCTGCATTTATTTCTGATTAGAATTCATCTAAATATACTTTTATCTTATTCATCTACATTCTCTTTAAAGGGACTGTAAGCGTAATTTCAAGTGATCTTCCAAGCAAAGAAGGCAAATGCTCGATTCACAATGGTATCCTATAAAGCGTTGTCTGATCAAGTATAAATTACTGGGCTTCTTCGGGCGCTTCGCACCCATCTTCTATTTCAATAGTGAACAGATTTTCTTTGTCTACATTGTAAAACAAAGCAAACAAAAATTTCGCGTGGGTTTTCAAAATGTTGCGCCCGATCGGTTCAGTCATTTTGACGTCTATTGGATACAAACAAACAGACAGACAAGCAAAATATATCTATAGATATATCAATGTTTTTGTTTCTTTAAACTGTTTATTTTTATTTGTAATTTATGAAGCAATGGAAAAACTTCCAGAAATAAGACGGGTTGAGTCAGGGAAACGACGATATCTTCCACAATTTTGATTAGATTAAGCTGTGTCAATGCTACCCTTGTAAATCAGACATTGTCCTCTTTGCACGGAGGATCACTTTGAATTACGCTTACAGTCCCTTTAATAAGGACATGAGAGCTGTTTGACATTTAGAAATAATGAAGGTTAATATCAATACTACTCATTCACTCACTTCACTAGATTCAAATCAAATATTTATATTATTTCACAAGAAACAATTCACGTGGAAATTCCAGGATTTTAAAAGGAATTACGAGATGTTAGCCGTTAGGTACTTTCCTAAAGGACTTTTCCCAAGGACAACTTACCTAGTAACAATTCCTAAAGTGGCAACTTCCCAAATATGTAATTTCCCAAGAGACAATTTCACAAATGTACATTTTTGGTTAGGTTAGCCCTTAGGCGCCGCTGGCTGCAATGAGGGGCCGTGCACTGCGGCTGGGATGGACTTGGGACCTGAGTGCTGCGGCTGGGATGGACTAGGGACCTGAGCGCTGCGGCTGGGATGGACTAGGGACCTGAGAGCTGCGGCTGGGATGGACTAGGGACCTGAGAGCTGCGGCTNAAACCAAAATGATCTGGGATGGACTAGGGACCTGAGAGCTGCGGCTAGAACAGACTTGGAAAGTTGCCGCTTGGGAAATTGCAAATTTGGAAAGTTGACACTTGGAACACCCTTGGGAATTTGCCGTTTGGGAAAATGCCTTTAAGTGAAAGTATCTAAAATTAAATGCAATACTTTTCAGGTTGATTTAAGGTCCTTTGCTACTGTCGACGAAACTTCATTAGCGATCCTTTATTTATGGTTGAAAGAACTAGTTATATACCAGATTCATGACAGTACCATTCAAACCTCTGTCTCAGTAGACATTTAGAGGTCACTATTACAGAGAACCGCAATTGGAAATTTTGATTTAAAAAAAAATGATATCTCCACCATATATTTGCCTAAACAAAGGATTTAGGGTACTGTCGTAAATCAGGTACGTAGCTTTTCAAATGGACGGTCCCATAAATCTAAATCGACACTCCTTTATCATTGATTAAAAATTATATTTTAAAAATGCTGCACTAGGTGGTCGACCAACCTCCATTCAAGCATTTGGGACACCCGACCAACCTGTGATATTTGTACTAGGTAGGTCATATTTGGGACACCCGACCAACCTGTTATAATGTACTAGGTAGGTCATATTTGGGACACCTGACCAACTTGTGATATTTGTACTAGGTAGGTCATATTTGGGACACCCGACCAACCTATTATATTTGTATTAGGTAGGTTATATTTGGGACACCTGACCAACCTGTTATATTTGTACTTGGTAGTTCATATTTGGGACACCCGGCCAACCTGTTATATTTGTACTAGGTAGGTTATATTTGGGACACCCGACCAACCTGTGATATGTGTACTAGGTAGGTCATATTTGGGACACCCGGCCAACCTGTTATATTTGTACTAGGTAGTTCATATTTGGGACACCTGACCAACCTGTGATATTTGTACTTATAGGTAGGTTATATTTGGGACACCTGACCAACTTGTGATATTTGTACTAGGTAGTTCATATTTGGGACACCCGACAAACCTGTGATATTTGTACTAGGTAGGTTATATTTGGGACACCCGACCAACCTATTATATTTGTACTAGGTAGGTCATATTTGGGACACCCGACCAACCTGTGATATGTGTACTAGGTAGGTCATATTTGGGACACCTGGCCAACTTGTGATATTTGTACTAGGTAGGTTATATTTGGGACACCCGACCAACCTATTATATTTGTACTAGGTAGGTCATATTTGGGACACCCGACCAACCTGTGATATGTGTACTAGGTAGGTCATATTTGGGACACCCGGCCAACCTGTGATATTTGTACTAGGTAGGTTATATTTGGGACACCCGACCAACCTATTATATTTGTACTAGGTAGGTCATATTTGGGACACCCGACCAACCTGTGATATTTGTACTAGGTAGGTTATATTTGGGACACCCGACCAACCTGTGATATTTGTACTAGGTAGGTTATATTTGGGACACCCGACCAACTTGTTGTATATGTACTTGGTAGGTTATATTTGGAACACCCGAAATGACTTAACAAAGAAAGTTAGAAGTTAGATGGAACCACTTTAGAAATAACGAATGATTTTAATTATTTTGTTATGCTGCACCTTTGTCTCTAAAAATGTAACTTATACTACTCCATGACTTTTTGTAAACTTTCAAACCCTAGTAATATTCATCATATTTTAAACGTTTTAATATCAATTAGGTGGGGATAATACCCGAAACAGTGAAAGCTAATCTCCTCCTAATTGCTATAACACATTTATACATTATAGTAAACCAAGAAATATACAGTACACATTACACAATATGCGTATTTTGGAATTGGGCGTTCCTGCGAATAGTTCCTTGTAGTAAACAATATGAAAATGGTTGCAGATTTTTTTACCTGAAACATTATAACTTTTTAAAGTATTTATAGCAATAACTATATCTTATCTTATCTTATCATACAATCGTCTCTGTACTGAAGTCTCATATTTTTGGGCAAACAATAAGAATAAATTTTGTTTATGATGTAATTTTAAAAAAACCTTTCGACATTTCGATGTTCGAATGGTTTAGTAAATTTTTAATTCATTACATTAACCAGTTTTTTTTTTCATCCAATGGTTTTATTTTCTCTTTTGCCATTTATTTAAAAAAAAATCTTGTTTTTTTATTTAAAAGACAATTTCTTTCAATTTCTAAATTTTAGCCAAATTTAATTCAGTGACCACAAAAATTAGAGAATTTATTCTGTAAAGTTTTCAAAATATTTTTACACCAGATCGTATTATTTCAATAATTCAGCTTTTTTTTGATAATTTGACTTAATTAAGTTTTTTATCATTTTACTGTCTTAATTGAAATCAAAGAAAGAATTATTTTTAAAATAAATTTTTATTCTTTCAATCTTAATAAAGTCGAGTTAAAGTCGATGTCCATTCTTTTAATTTCTAGTGATCCATAATTCTAAGCAAGGAATAACTCGATTAACTACGGTTAATTAATTTGATGTAAGGACCTTTGTATTAGCAGCATCAATGCAGTTATCCTAGTTATTCTATCTGAAAATTGATTAACTTTAATTATCGGTTTCTGTAACAGTGAGTTGCTGATTTTTGATGCATAGAGAATAATATTAACAATCATTGTGGCTGAAATAAATGGCAATAGGCCTGGTACCGTTCTTAGCCTTTTTATGATACTACAGTGATAACCAGAAAACTCTGGAATAAAAAGACGACTTAAATCTACTCAATTTGTGACTTAAAATTATCACTTAAATGTCGTCTTCCTATTTCAGAGTTTTCTGGTTTTTACTGTAATATAAAAGATTAACTTTTTTGTTGAAAGAAAATTGAAATCTGATGTTTTGTTGTAAAAATGGTTGAAAATCTGGATATATTGTGTAGAGATAAAGTTCAAGGTTTTGATTAATAAATAATTTAAACTTCTAGGATATATATATATCTATATTCTAGTACTATATATATATATATAAATCTATATTCTAGAACTATATATATATAGGAGGACCTGGTTAAACTACTAGGATATATATATATAAATCTATATTCTAGTACTATATATATGTATATAGGAGGCCCTGGTTCAGGAAAAATTACTCACTGTGAACATCTTACCAGGAACTTTACAGTCGCAATCAATCAACCAATTACTAAATTAAACAATTGATTTCATTTCTTATTCTTATAACATTAACAAGATTTAAAATACCAATCAAAAATGGTGTAGGACAAGGATGTAATGCAAGGATAGTTATTTCAGAAGTGTACACATCTTTTGTACTGCAGTGTACTGTCTCTGGGCGGTAATGTAAACACAAAACGGATGTCAAAGTCTGACATGGGATCCATCTTTCATATAAAAAAATCAATGAATTATTCTGGTCAAAGGAAACTATTATGTGAATTATCAAAATTATCAAAAGAACCTGTCAAATCATTCGTTCACCAAAACCATACTGCAGTCCTTCAATTATCATACAGGGAAATTTTCATCTTTCTAAACATCCCAACGAATGATTTGACAGGTTCTTTAATGCCTTTATCCTCCACGAATACTAAACGAACACTGATGCATCTATTATTGTTTCAAATTCCGCCCAAAGAGAACTGGTTTCAATATGTACGCAGAGTATACTCGACCGCAATTAACTTTCTTTGCATTACACACTTGGTGTAGGATATCTTTTTTCATTCTTTTCTGCTTAAAAGAAGTAACATTTATTTAAATATGTGCACATATCAACATTTTATAATGGAGTTTCTTAAATGCTGATAAAATTCTTGAATCTCTGAAAATTGATAAAAAACTAGGCCTAACAATGCAGCTACCCTGTGATTTTTCCTTAAATAAACATTCGAAATTACGTAAGGCTTTGACCGTCACATTTTTTCCCCTGACGAGTTTGTTCTCATATCTAATTTTAACCACAGCACTTAAATGTGTCTGTTCTAAAAGTTAACAAATATTCTTACATAAACTTTGTAGAGCCATTTATTCTGGACTATTTTTGGATAACCTTGATAATGAGACACAATTACGGCTGATTCTAAATAATCTAAAATAATAACTCTGTAATCTAAAACTTTTATTACTTTTTATACAACATTTTCTATATAAATGCTGCTCTATACTCTAGTTTTGCNTACTAAATATATAGATGCTGCTCTGAACAAACCTGAATAATAAATTAATCTATTGAAGACTTGAAAGTCGTTTTTGACCTTAGAAATAGTTCTTGGCATTCATTTGGCAACCTATTTATAGCCAATACTAATGCAAGGAAATTTTTTTCAGAGGTGTAAGCATATTTGTACTGCAGTGTACTGTCTGTGGGTGGAAAAGTAAACACAAGACGGTTGTCAGAGCCTGACATGGAATCCATTTTTACAAAAATAATCTATGAAATATTCTGGTCATAGGAAACTATTATGTGGATTATCAAAATTATCCAAATTAAATACTTCCTCGGATACTAGACTAACACTGATAAATCTATTCTTGTTTACAAATTCCACCCAAAGAGAACTGTTTTCAATATGTACGCAGAGTATACACGACCGCAATTAACTTTCCTTGCATAAGTACCTTGATTATAGCAATGTTTACTTATTTAGATTTATTTAGAACAGCCCTGTATGTTTTGTAAAAGAATTTTTAAACCTTTCACCTGAAGCAGTTGTAAATAATTGATTGTAAGCTGTGAGGTTATTGTAGAGATTTCCCTGGTTACCTTCATATAAACATGATGGAAATTCTTAATCTAATTATGAAAGAAACAGGTAAATTTTTTACAGGCCCATAATTCCCTAACGGAGGGACAATTAAGTAAAATAACCACCCGATCTGCAAAGTTTTATGAAAAAGTTCGCGTATTTTTATCTCAAAAGACGATAAAATTGTGTACAATTGCTTTCTCGGAAAAATGGGTTCCCTCGACCAAATTTATAATGTAAAATAGGTCATGAAAACCGCGGTTAGGTAAAATTCCCTTAACTTCCCTGTAAAATAGTTTTTTAATAATTATTAACAGACAAATATTTCATGGAACAGTTTAAACCAAAATGATGAAACTTGGCGGTTTCTATAGGTCGTGTTAATGTAAAGGTTCACTCCCATTAAATGACTGCTGCACACGGGAAATCAAAGAGGTTTAGAATTAATCCATTGGTCTGCATAAGATGGAGATCAAAACTTAATCCCGAGCTGCATACCACAAAAGTTCTGACATCGTAAAAATAATTACGGAAGATTAGTTATTTTCGTGTTGCAAAAATTAATTGAAAAATGTTGACTGTTTATTGGATTGGTAGTGTCTACATATATTACTATAGTAGAGTTTCCACCGGAAATCTGGTTTACAATTTAGGTCCGGAAATTATCAGCATTATTTACTTTAACATTTAACGTATATATATTGACGTTCTTTAATCAAAATAGTATGTTTGTGAATAACCCTTTAATTTTCTATTTTAGGTAGAAACCTAAGTAAAGAGTTACTTTGGCGGGGTCCAAAAATCTTATATAAGAAAACAATGGAATATGAAACGACATTATAGCAATACTTGTTAAATCACCAATGCAGTGAATTGGGTCTGTTTACATTGCACAATTGCTGTGTCTAATGCTCATTGGAGTTTTTGAAGAAATAAGTTGATTCTAAAAGTCGTCTTCCTATTTCAGAGTTTTCTGGTTATCACTGTAGGACTAAACCCTAAAGCACATCCTATCTTTTTTCTATTCCTAGATATCCAGGACCCAATGCTGATATATTTTCGATTCCTAGATATCCATGACACAATGCTAATATATTTTCTATTCCTAGGTATCCATGACCCAATGCTTATTCATAGATATCCGTGACACAATTCTAATATATTTTCTATTCGTAAATATCCGTGACACAATGCTAATATATTTTCTATTCCTAAATATCCATGACCCAATGCTTATTCATATATATCCGTGACACAATGCTAATATATTTTCTATTAATAGATATCCATGACCCAATGCTTATTCATATATATCCGTGACACAATGCTAATATATTTTCTATTAATAGATATCCATGACCCAATGCTTATTCATAGATATCCGTGACACAATGCTAATATATTTTCTATTCCTAGATATCCAGGACCCATTGCTAATATATTTTCTATTCCTAGATATTCGTGACCCCATGCTGATATCTACAAGTAAGGTGACCGCTACACTCATGTCTATTATTAACAGTCAAGCAACTACCCAAGGATTTTTAGTGTCAGGTAAAAATACCCTGCTTTCATCTAATTATTTATAGAATTTTGCTAAAATTAAAATTCAAGAAAAAATATTTTTAGAAAACATTATAATTTATAAAATTTATTTATTTTCAGGATATCCTCGAAGCATGAGAGATACTAAAGAATATCTTGAAACTGTAGGTCGACTAGATGGAGTGATATTACTCAACTGGACAGAGAAAACTCTTCAAACACAGGTAGATGCAATAGTCAAGACATCTAACCAGCTAGAGCGAGCTGTACAGTACAGTACCTGTACAGTACACCATACAGATTATACCAGGCAAAACGAGACAGTACACCAAATGAACCAGCACTTTTTACAGTAATTCTAGATGCCATGTGACCTTCATTTTCCAAAAATAGAAATTGCGAAGTAACGGAAAGATAGATTCCGTAAATTTCATAGCTTGGCCGGCTTACTAATACAACCAAACATTATACGTTGCGCTTGCAAGTTGCACCCTTATAGTCCCCATATATTCTATGCATTTGAAGCATACAAATATCACGCATCTCTGCCCCTTTAGTTAATGTAAATTCAGCCTATATGAAGCATAAAGTCTGACCGCGCCAACCTTATTGTACCGGCTAGTCCTATCCCTAGAACTAGGTACAGTACAAACTAGAACCGGAAAGGTTGACCCGGCTCGGAAATTCAAATGTACTACAGCTGCCCGTAATATGTGCCTCAAATATTGCATAATATAAAAATTTGAATATTCTCAAAGTTTGACTTGCTCAGAATAAATAAGCTTTATTAATGTAACAAATTATTTTCTTCTAACATAAGTTATATTATGTTTCATCAACAAACCCTTTGAAGAAGAAGCTGATTACTTGCCTCAAACTTAAATCTTCTATTTTTACAATCTGAAGTCGTAGACCTTACAAATGTCAAACAATGAATTTTGCAAGATCAAATAGTCAATCTATATAATAAAGCTCTTTGCTCATATACAGTGATAACCAGAAAACTATAAAATAGGAAGACGACTCTCAGGTTATAACTTTAAAATGAACATGAGACACAGAATTTGTGCAGTGTAAACAGACCCGTTCATTTAAATTAGTGATTTCATAAGTGTCTCGTAAAACTATTCACCTCTCCTTCATTTTTTTAACTTTCATCGTATCATACGCCGCATAAATCTAAAGTTTTCAGGGACCTGGACCAGACAGCCAGATATTGAGCTCTCCGGGTTTCCCGGCACTGTAATAATCATAGAATTCATCAATGTGTTTTTAACCCTTGTAAATGTATAATTATGTGCCTATGGCCTTACTGACGCGCAGCACGTACCGGCCGTCCCCATCCTATGTTACGTTTGTCCCCGTTTTCTATTTGATGGCGCGGTCAGACTTTTACCGTACCCGGCCTGGTAGATGCTTATTTGACCATCCCCGCTATAGCTTGGTGTGAAATCATTTTCTTTTATTTTAGATCGAGTATGGAGCTAAATTCGGTCAAGTTGTTTACGATGTTGCTAAACTAGAACTTGCTAATTTTAGGAAAACACTCAATCAAATACTTTTAATTGTTTTTAAACTTGCTAAATTGGTCATAACACACTGCAAAAATATCTTTTATTTGTTTCTGTAAAATAACAACGTGTATTCACTCTGTATAAACAGGTTTTTTAACCAATAGACGTGAGAAGCAATATAAACAGCAAATAAGTAGAAATATAGGGTTACCCACAAAGGCTGATACTTCTGCAGAGACGACTGTACGGTATTTATACTTTCCTTCTTCTTTATATTCACGGTTCAATGCAACTTTGATAAGTTGTTAAACAAGCCATTCAAAGATTATATGTAAGGAAGACGACTTAATTCCCCCTGAGGATCGTCATTTTCTACAAGTTTTAGGTCGTCTTTGCAGTCTCATCCTTTGTGAGTAATCCTGTATTAACCAATTGGTCAATAAGGTAAAACGCAGCGTTAATAATTTTTCTAACAGGGCAGTGGCCAGTGACTTTGTAAAGCTGTACATGTAAGAAATTAAAGATTCGAAATGCACCCCCCTCCCTCACTCCTAACTCTTAAATTATTATTAAATAATTAGTAAAATAAATCCAATATTATGAAGTTAAAATTAAAGATCTTTTGATTTTAATGATTTTATTAAACCATTATCTGCACGGTATCAATCTTACGGCAAGAAAAAAACTTTTTTTTTGATGGGTCTAGTGTACATCTAGTGTACATCTAGTGTACATCTAGTGTACATCTAGTGTACATCTAGTGTACATCTAGTGTACATCTAGTGTACATCNAAACAAGCAGCGGGATTTGGGACTAGCAAAAAGAGAAAATCCAGATCAACTAAAGAAATAAATTTGAAAGATTAAGTAAAATAAATCCATTATTATGAAGTTAAACTAAAAGTTCTTTTGATATAATTTTTATTAAACCATTATCATGGTATCAATCTTACGGCAAGAAAAAATCTTTTTTTTTTGATGGGTCTATTGTTCATCTATCTAAGCCTTGAATAAATTCGTTTTAATTTCAAGTGACCCGATTAATTTAAATCATTCACAAGGTACCAGTACAAACGTCGGGCCCACAAACGTCGGACGCTACAAACCTAAGACTTACAAACGTCGGACAGTACAAACGTCGGACCAGGACAAACGTCGGACTAAGGAAAAAAAATAATTTGAATTTTAATATTTTTTTTGTATTAAAAAGCTATTTCCGTTTATTGACTGGTCTAATAAAAAAGAAACTGAGTTCTTTGCCAATAACTCAAATATTCTCATCCCTACCTTTTCAACCTGGTAATGGTACTTTCAAGCTTAAATGGTTTTATCTTATAGATTTTATAGGTTGAAATATTAAAGATATAGACATTGAAAAATCAGAGTTTGTGAAAATTGAACTCAACTCCTTTTTGGTTTGTTGTTTTATACAGTGCTAACTTCGAAGGATGAGAATTTATTCAGTTGTCTTTGATTTTCATCACAATAAGTGAGTGATTTTTAATTTATTTCTTATAGCAATGGCATTTTTTTCATGTCTGACGTTTTTCCTTAAATATGTACCCGTCCGACGTTAGTACCAGTCCGACGTTTGTACCCGTCCGACGTTTGTACCAGTCCGACGTTTGTAAGTCCGACGTTTGTACTGTCCGACCTTTGTAGCATCCGACGTTTGTGGGTCCGATGTTTGTACTGGTACCATTCACAAGGAACCTATAGCTTGAAACTTTAATAATGTGGAAGATAACGTCTTTTTTTAAGCTTAAAAAGTTATTAATTCTGTTAATTTCTCCATGTGTCCAAGTCACTTTGTTGAGAAGCCATAAACAGAAATAATCTGTTTTTCAAAAAAGAACTTGATCAGAAAAGTTCTTAAGGATACTGTTGTGAATCAAACATGCTAGTGCTATTTCAATAAAAGGTCATATAAAATTATGCTTACAGTCCCTTCGAGTTGATAATATTTAAGAAAAAAATCAGATTAGTTGATTGAGTGATTTTAGACAGCATGTTCTTCCTGTAGCAGAATACTTTGATTATAAACATTTGTTATATGTGGTAAGTACAGTACAGTACAGTACATATATGTGGTAAGCACAGTACAGTACAGTACATATATGTGGTAAGCACAGTACAGTACAGTACATATATGTGGTAAGCACAGTACAGTACAGTACATATTTGTGGTAAGTACTGTAAAATACAGTACAGTACGGTACAGTACAGTACAATGCAGTACAGTACATATATGTGGTAAGAATAAGAAACTCTTTTTAAAATCAAATTATTTTTTTTTTAATTTATAAAAAAATATATTTTAGATTCCTGGCGAGCGAAAACCTGAAAATGTTTATACAGGAAAGGGTTTAAACAATAGAATTGATATGTTTTAAAAGCTAAATACATAGATTAATAACAATATATACAGATAGAACACTAGATGTCGTCTTTTCAAGATTTTAGTTTTTTCTTCTTCACAAAAACCCTGAGGCAGAAGCCCAAAGGAGTTCCGCGCAGGCAGCGTTAAATTACAAAAAAGAGAGAGAGAGCATACGCATACCTCCTTTTGGCCTCTGTCTCATGGTTATTGTGAACTAAAAGACGACATCTAGTGTTCTGTCTGTATTGTTATCTATGGCTAAATATAAGTCGAAACTGTTGTGTTGTGATCAAGCATTGCAAATCTCCATGTTATGCAGACGGATAAATGTGATTCTTTAATTGATGGATCAAGAATTGACCCGGAAATTTAATAGTGCCCACATTGAATATCGAGATTAAGCATTCAAGATTAGTAATATCCACAAAAAAGTTTCCACGTCAGATATTTTTAAAGAATCCCTGGAACCAGTTGGAAGCATTTTTTTCTCAATTTGCCCAATAAGGGACCGAGCGCTGCGGGCTGGCAAGTGAAAAAATAAATTGAAAAAGAAAACATTTTTTAACTCTATTTTGTCAGATTTTGTTTCTGTGTTCAAAAAGATTCTTTCATCAAATCATAAGGTTTGTCACAAAATAATTTTATTTTTCAAGATGCTTTTATATTTATGATCACACAATTAGGCCAATTAATTAATCATATTCTTTTCTAACAGTTTCAAAATGAAAACTTTCTAGAAAACCAGATGTTTGATTATTCTCTAATGTTATAATATCCTTTTTAACATTAAAAGTATTATTATTTTTATCATTATCATTATTACCATCAACATGATTATCAATATCAGTATTATTTATATAAAAGCGACAATATCTTTAAGATGATTGATCAGAAAGGGGATGAATTGCCATCTTTGATGAAAGGGTGATTTGAAAATTAGTTCCCTTCAAATCAAAAGTTTAAAATTGACATTTTGTTTTGAAAACTAATACGATAAAATTATCCCGTGATAAGTTAAAAACAACTTATTGAGCCTTTACAAATTACCAAGTGATAAAGGAAGAATGTATGAAACAGACTTTGCAGAGTGGTGGTACAGTTTCCTTACCTCCTGTTGTACATGATCCACCTAGACCTGTACATAAACATTGTATATGGATTGTAGGTAATATACTTTTATTCTGTACATGATCCACCTAGACCTGTACAGCGTACATGATAAAACTGATGTACAGTGTAGATGACCGTCCTCCGCATATGTACATTGTACATACATTTTCGTGCTATAAGAGTGATATTTATGAAAATAAAAATAAAAATAGTGAAAGGTAGTGTATGCCTAATTTCTAGTGACTGTTAATGCAAACATAGCAATGCACGATTCACAACGGTACCTTTAATAGCTTTGTCTGATTAAGTATGAATTAGATATCAATGTTCATAATTTTAGAAAACAGTATATTTTCAATTGTGGCTTCTCCACAAAAGTGACTTGCGCAATTCTAGAATAAAGACAATATCTTCCACATTATCCCAAGGGTACTGTTGTGAATCGGGCATTCTCATCTTTGCATAGAGTCTCTTTAAAAATTCTCTTTAAAAAGCCTTTTGATGTCAACAATTTCTTTGCTTTTATCAATCTCATTATAATTAATTACACCTTTTCCTGAATATATCACACACATTATCTCTGTTAATTAGGATACTTTTCCTGAATATACCACACACATTATCTCTGTTAATTAGGATACTTTTCCTGAATATATCACACACATTATTTCTGTTAATTAGGATATTTTCCTGAATATATCACACACATTATTTCTGTTAATTAGGATACTTTTCGACTTACATCACAAAGTGTATATAAATAAATATTGATGGGTTCCGAACTTTTTTTCTTTCCCCTCTGTTTAAAATTTAAAAATCAAGAATTACAGGGACTGTATGCTTAATTTCAAGTGACCCTCCATACAAAGATGACAATACTAAAGTCAACTATGTGGTATATACTTGGTCCTGTTATAGTAAATAATCTGTAAATTATTCAGGAGGACCGGGGAGTGACAAGCTTGCTAGAGTGAATAAGATACAAGAAGATCATCCAGCTTGGAGAGTTTTACACACAGGTAACATACAGGGTTACCCATAAAGAATGAGAATTGAAAGACGACCTCAACTCTTTAAATTTGACTATTCTGAGGTTAAATTAAGTCTTCTGCCTTGAATAAAGCCTGGTTATGGCTTAATCAATGATCAGGCAAAAAGAAACAAGCTTACAGTTGCAGGGAATCATAAATATACGGAAACAGGTAGCATAAATATATGGAAACAGGTAGCATAAATATATGGAAACAGGTAGCATAAATATATGGAAACAGGTAGCATAAATATATGTAAACAGGTAGCATAAATATATGTAAACAGGTAGCATAAATATATGTAAACAGGTAGCATAAATATATGGAAACAGGTAGTATAAATATATGGAAACAGGTAGTATAAATATATGTAAACAGGTAGCATAAATATATGGAAACAGGTAGTATAAATATATGGAAACAGGTAGCATAAATTCTATACAATCGTCTCTGAAGTCTCTGTCTCTGAAGTAACCCTGTATATACAAGAGTTACCAGCTTGGAGAGTTTTTTTTTACATAGGTAACATAGATACAAGAGTTAATTACAAACAAGCAACATATGTAAGAGTCATCATGTGTACGCTCTTGTGATAGAGTGTGACTAAAATCATTTATCTTGAAAATCTTTCATTTTTTCTTTCTTTATTTTATCAAACAAAGAAATAAGTTTTGTCAACAAATCTTTAATCAAAACTCAGATTGAAAAATCTTAAGATGTTATTTCAGGGTTAAAGGAAATAAAATTAAAGTGAACCCAAAGGAGAAAGTCAAGAATAAAAAACTGTTTATTTTTAAATATACATTTGATGTTTGAGTGTGAGTGGGCACTGTGCTGACTAAAAGGGTTTCTGCAAAACAAATAGTCAATTGCTTTCTCGGAAAAATGGGTTCCCTCGACCAAATTTAAAATGTAAAATAGGTCATGAGAACCTCGTTAAAGTAAATTTCTCTTAACTGCCCTGTAAAATAGTTGTTAGTAATTATTAACAGACAAATATTTAGTGGAATAGTTTAACAATCAGACCTTAAAGATGCCATCCCAGGGACCATACATGAGGCCGATACTTTTGAGTGGAGTATCGTTATTTTTGGACGCTTGATCTCGATATCCAATGTTGGCACTTTTAGATTTGAGGATAAAGACTTGTTCCATCAATTATTAAACCTAAAATCTGTTCTTACTAAACATAAATTATGATATCTGACCTGAGCTGGGAACTTAAGAATGGATAACCTTTAATCACAACTAATTAATCTGAATATCCACTGTAGAAACTTTTCATTTTAGCCTTTAATCCACTCTTTTCTCTCTTTTTGGATATCCCTACATTGTTTTCTCCAATGACAGTGTAGAAATATAGTTCGTAAATTGTATTGACCAATGACAGCCTTGAAAATAAATTAATTAATCCGTGAAGAAAAATATTTAATAATACGTTTGAGATTCTGTTTTAACCAATTCTAACTAATGTATTAATAAAGAAATGGATGAGAAGTTAAGTGAAGGCCCTTCCAGTCAAAAAAACGAATAAATCTGGCGTTCCTAGAATCAAATTTGTTGATCTAAATATTTAATCTCTAGAATAACTTAATTTCGAGATTATGTTAGTCCTGAGATTAGCAAAAAGAGAGGATTAAGCGTTAATCCTGATATCCAACATTCTAAAGTTTCCAGCTCTGTTCAGATAAATGTTCACTCCCATGCATTTGAACGACTGCTGCACACGGGAAATCAAAGAGGTTTAGAATTAATCCATTGGTCTGCATAAGATGGCGATCAAAACTTAACCCCGAACTGCATACCACAAAAGTTCTGACAACGTAAAATAATTCAGGAAGATTAGTTTTATTTTGTGTTGCAAAAGTTAAATGAAAAATGATGACTGTTTATTGGATTGGTAGTGTCTACATATATTACTATAGTAGAGTTCCACCGGAATTCCGGTTTACAATTTAGGTCCGGAAATTATCAACATTATTTACTTTAGCATTTAACGTATATATATTGACGTTTTTAAATCAAAATGGTATGTTGTATCAACATTTAATTTTCCTATCTCGGTAGATTCTAAGTAAAGAATCATTTTGGCCGGGTCCAAAAATCTTATACCAGAAAACAATGAAATATGAAGACGACATTATAGCAATACTTGTTAAATCACCAATGTAGTGAAATGGGTCTGTTTACACTGCACAATTGCTGTGTCTCATGCTCATTGGACTTCTTAAAGTAATAATTTGGTTCTAAAAGTCGTCTTCCTATTTTAGAGTTTTCTGGTTATCACTATAGGACTAAACCCTAAAGTACATTCTATCTATTTTCTATTCCTAGATATCTGTGACCCAATGCTGATATATTTTCTATTCCTAGATATCTTTGACCCAATGCTGATATATTTTCTATTCCTAGATATCTGTGACCCAATGCTGATATATTTTCTATTCCTAGATATCCGTGACCCAATGCTGATATATTTTCTATTCCTAGATATCCGTGACCCAATGCTAATATATTTTCTATTCCTAGATATTCGTGACCCAATGCTGATATATTTTCTATTCCTA